AGGGGGGTAGAGGTACGGGTTAGGGTTAGGATAGGAGCTGTGGGGGGTAGAGGTACGGGTTAGGGTTAGGATAGGAGCTGTGGGGGGGTAGAGGTACGGGTTAGGGTCAGGGTTAGGGTTAGAGGTACGGGTTAGGGTTAGGATTGGAGCTGTTCTTGTAGCTCGGTAGGTGGTTCCTCCATCTTGGAACGACACATTAAACAGTCTGGATGGTCTTAAGCTGGTGAAGGCTCTGCTAGACCACAGTCCACTGATGACCGGAGGGATCCAGTTGTGACATAAGCCTTTGCAAGAGGATTCAAGTAGATGGGAGCCGGACCCTTAAGCACTTTGTAGGCTAGCATCAGGGACTTGAATTTGCTACGGGCAGCCAGAGGTAACCAGTGGAGTTCAATGAACAGAGGGGGAGCAGTAGCAGTGCAGTGTACCTTGAGGACCAGGGTTGGGAAACACTGGGTTAGGAGATGCTAATGCTAATGCTCGTGTGGGATCGGACTTTAAAATAAACTGGATCTGGAGTCTGGATCTGCATTTTTTCCTGCCCGCCGATACGCTTTTTTTTTTTTACAAATATCGGCGGCCGATCGGATCCAGATATCGGATCTGGACAGGCGTAGTTATAACTGTCTGCGTTCCCCATGCACAGAGCCTCCAGATCCACCTGCGCAGCGTCCACGGACCCATCCAGGTGTTCCTCAGCTCTAACGAGCCCCCCCCCTCAGACTCTATAGTCGCCCCTACAGCCAGCAGCCACCTGAACCCGACCACCGGGGAGAGCCACGCCGCGCACTTCCTACCCCTCAATAAAATGACTTCCAAAGGTGAGGGCCATATTTAAAGAACCCCCCCCTTTGTATGTGTATGTGTATATATCCTCCCGAGACCCAAAGAAAAAAAGTGTCTTCAAATTTCTTTTTTGTTGTGATTTTCCATGTATTTGGACCTAAAAAAGAACATTACCATTTAAATTTTAAAAAAATATATTTTTAATTTTAATTTCATAGCATGTCCACTGTGGAGGACAACTGGACGATTTGC